GCAGCCCCCAACAGTTTCTTTAGAAACTATCAGCCTTTATTCATTTGAAATGTAGTTTGTCTGTATGATTATGAGGTGCATTATTTCACTCTTATCTCATCTTTTAACATTTTAATGAAACCTTGAGTGCCTTTTTAGGACAAAACTGGTTACAGTAACACTTCTTTGCTTAAAAGTGAGGGTTGTCTGGCAAACCCAAATTGAGTTGATTTGTCTAAGTAGTTCACAAATTGACTTACTAGAATTCAATTGGTGTTTAAGTTTAATGATATTACAAGGTGTTCCTCTGCTATGTTATGCATGATTCTACTTCTGGTGATTAAATGCATCCATATTATTTTTCCGTTTGCTCACGCCGTTTTGTATGTTAAACCACGATTTGACTTCCTGTGATTGTCTCCTTTCTGAGAACTAACTACATGAAAAATAGTTTTAGTTACAGGGGCGCAACCCTTTGGAACAGCTTGCCCTGTGATATAAGAGAGTCTGGTTCATTAAATCAATTTAAACATCTTTTCTATCATAATTTTTAAACATAGCATTCATAGAAAGTGGCATGTTATTATAAGTTAATATAGTGTTAGGATTAGGATTTTTATGTTTTAGGTTTTAGGATGTTAGTCACTGTATTAGAATTTATTGTACCTGATGATTTTTTTTACCATGTATAAATAGAATGATTGATTGATTTATTTATTTATTCAATTCTTCAACTACCATAGACAGATCAAGTCAGATTAAGGGCATTGAACATGTTTTGTAAAAATATCAATTGACGGTATGCTGTAATTTTTTCTCACAGTCATGATGAAAAACTCAGCTTGTTTGTGCTGGGAACACCATGAACAAAACTCTCATAAATTTTTTTTAGGCATAAAAGTTTGACTGTGTGAGCCTGGCCTTCTCTCTCCAATTTACAGTGCTTATTATCAGCTTTAATAGTATTAACTGAAACATTGTTTTTTTATTTATTTATTTATTTTTTTCAGTTCATGCTGTTGAGAAGTCATGGCATTGCGCATGAAAGGACGTAGTGGTCATGCACTAGACCAACTGGATTATGACATATTTTGGACAGAATATAGGTCTATAGAGGAGAGTCGGATTCCAGTACCTGATGAGGATCATGATGATGAACACTCTAAAGAACCTCAAGGAGGTACAAGCTCAGGCAATAATTTATTCATGTGACTGGCAAGGACTCCAAGGAGTAATAAATAGTCATGTTGTGCGACACAAAGTTTACATGTACCTCACATGTGCTTTATACTGCCCCAAATCGGGCAATTTTTGAGCATTTAGAGCATGTTATGTAAGTTAGTCATTGAAGTTTTCTCTTTTTACATAATCTCCAGAGGACATGAGTGATAATAATCAAAACTTGTTGTGTTTATCTATTGTTAATGCTGTTTCTCCTTCTTTATGTTTGTTCAGGGATTGAAAATGCTCTGCAACAACAAAACAAATCTGGTCAACAATCTTTGGAAACTTTAGGGGAAAGCTCACAACTGTAAAATCTGCTGCAAACTTAACTTTCATTGCTTTTCATAGATATCTATTTTACTACATAAAATTTCTCCCATATCAGCTATACATATCTACATACATCTTTCATCTACAGAATGTGAACAAGAACTTCAGTGGCTCAAAGAAGCTGGATTTGATACCATTGTAAAGAAATATAGAGGTACATGTATATATTAACCAACTTGAGTGTTGCATTTGCTAACAAATCAGTACAGAATATTACAGTGTACTTGATATATGGTGTATCTATAGTCCTAATGTATCGAAACTGTCATAAATATTTGGAAATTTGAATTTGAATTTTCATTGGTTTAAGTGTACATTCTTCTTACTAGAGAATAATTATGTTAGTGTTTCCAGAACTACCAATGGTTGGTGAATTCTGATGTGCCATTAGTTTTGTTCAACTTCTTTTGGATATTTCATGTCGTTTGATGATTTCATAATACTTAACTATGAGAAAATTGGTATAAAACTTATTAATGATTGAATCTTGTTTAATAGATAGCAAAGAAATAGATCATAATGATGTGGATTTTGAGAAGATCACTGGTTCCCTAACAAGGAAACAAGCAGAAGCTGTGAGGAAAAGAATTGACACTTTAAACCAAAGTACTAAGAGAAAGCTAGGTGTGTATGTGGCTCAGCCAACCAAACATTCCACCAGTAGCTACCCAGCAGATGTGAGAACAATTTTCCCAGTCAAAACTTCTGGACAGCCCAGCAATGCAGAACAGATAACCACTTCATCAAGGCCAGCACTTCTGAGAAAGACTTACAGTGAAGGAATACACATGCAGAAGCCACAGTCACTTGAGAATGGAGCAAAGGACAATGAATCTGCCCAAACGACAAGTAGGCTTTCACATTCAGCTGGTATGCTTTCATTTCCAATAGAGAGTAAAGAGTTTACAGGACATCATTTGCATCCAGGACATGCGGGGATTCCTGAGAGAAGATCAAGTGATGAATCACATTATCGAAAAGGTAAACACTTAATGCGCTCATCCCCTCTGTTAATAGCAAACAAGCAGATATCAAACAAGACTGTGCATGTGCCTGACCAGTAAAATCGCCATGTGGTTTGTGTGTTTTCAATTGTAGTGCATCCTATTTGTAAACTGAAGATGGATAAATCATCCATCATCAGATCAGTCTGTCTCACAACACCATTTTAAGTCTGCTGAATTTTAACTGGATATAAAAAAGTCCTAAAAGCACTGCAGACACACTAGCGATGCTTATTATTTATTGATAGGGAAACTAGTTAGCAAGGTGTCAGTGGACAGTCGGTCAAGAGTCGACTGACCATCAGCAGATACATTGACCAAAGCAGTGGTGGACATGTTGCTTCGATTGGATTTGTTACTTTATACATATTATGTAATACCTGGAGTTTCTTGTTTGGTGTCAGTTTTTTTTTTTTTTTTACACTAGTCTAAGTTTTGTTTCTCTTCTACTCGGTTGAGAGAAAAATTTGCTCAGTTTGATCAGTTGTTCCATAAATAACCCTGACTTGTCAGCATTCTTATTAAAAGAAATCTGCTTGTTATTCACTAGTTTTTCCCGAAACCCTTACACATTCCAGTCAGGTAGGCATAAAATGGTGGTTTGTGTTGTGTACTTGCAGGATTCCAGCAAGTAAAGCATCCCCATGGGGGATCAGTATTTTATGTGACTGGAACAACAAAACAAGAGTTGTTCAACACTGCAGAAAAAACCAAAGAGTCCTGTGTGGATGAGATCATGAACTCTGATCTAAAACATCTCAGTGTATCACCTCCTGAGTCTAGCCCAGACTGTTTTCATGAGGTACCAGTTGACTGTCCTGAGGAGGTTCGAGTTGATGTTCCTCCAGACAGGGTTCATGGAAAACCAGTAGGTGTTAAAATGACCAAGACTCTTAACTTTGAACAGTATGGCCAAACAGCATTTGCTACCTTTACTTCCTTCTGGATCTGCTAAATCTGCGAGCCAGCAAGCCATGCGAGCCATGCAAGCCATGCAAGCCATTTTTGCAAGTATTTTTTTTTTCTTCGATTGGTTCAGGGTCAGGGAGGTCGGCGATCATTTCGCGCCTGACTATCACTAAACTATCGCTATAAACTGCCCACCATCTTGAAAGTGGAGATGTTCCTGGGGATGAGTAGAAACAGTGCAACCTTGCTCCCAGGGTACTCTCTCTTTCCCTGGGAAATTAATTTTAAATTTAGCTGCAAAAGTGCTTAAAACTGATATATTCCCAGAAAAAATCTTAATCTCACTTCGGTTGCCAGAACTATTGCTGGTGCATCAAATATGAAAAATGCTCTAAACATCTGTACATTGTGCCAAGCCTTGCATCATAGTAATGGCTGTCTTGAGTTGGACAAATTTTTTTCTTTGTTTCATATTTTTGCTATTTAGAGAAAATTTTATCTATTCAAATCACTCAGGATCTACAAAAAAATAAAAACAGTCTGACAAAAATTAATTAAGGTTCAAGACTTTGAATGACAAGAGTCAATGGATACCATTCAACTACCCATTCGAGTGGCAGTAGCGTGGTGGAGCTGTACATTTTTCTCAAAAAATTTTTTGGAAGCAGTTCCATATAACCCCATACATTAATTATGCATTCATTTCATAAAGACTAAAATAATATAAAGGTTTCTTTGCAATACTCTATGCATAATTAATGTATGGGGTTATATGGAACTCTTACCAAAAAATTTTCTGAGAAAAATGTACAGTTCCACCACCCTACTGCTACTCGAATGGGTAGTTGAATGGTATCCGTTGACTCCTGTCATTCAGTGATATCCACGTAGAAAATCATTGAAGAGAAAAGAGAACAGTACTTCCAGGGCAACTCCGTGTATTGGCATCAAGAATGGTGTCTGAGTAAATCGCGTAATTTTAACAGCTTTGCTCTTTAGTGAATCAGAGTTATCAAAACTGTGTCGGTTGACTGACTGCTGCATGTGGTTATCTCTTCCCTCAGACAAGTCTTTCTTCAAAACTTGCCACCATATTAGCAGAGGCTGGTTTTGAGACAGCGTTCAACCCACCAGCTGACAGTATATGTTTCTACTATGCCGCTTCTTCTCATTTTGACTGTGGCTCGCATGACTTGCATGGCTCGCTGGTTCACAGGTTTATAAAACCCTTCCCTTCTGATGCAACATTTTGTATTCTCCCACTAAGAGCCAGTACACATCAGTGTAGTTGATATAAATAATTATCTGTCAAATTTCATGGCCATTGACTTTTGTTTTGTCAGACTACAGTCTGTTTTGGTGATTTTTTAATAAATGAAATAAATGTATTTGTGTACTAAGGAATTCTGCCATGAAAAATGTTTTAGTAAGTTTATATGTTATACACAAGTGTCAGTATTTGTTAATGAGAACTAGCCAAACAAGATTTTTTGATCAAGACATAACCAAGAGGACACATACTTGTATCTGCCAACCTGACCCAACCCAACCCAACCAACTCTTTATGATTTATTGAAACTTATAACCTTCCATCTCACGGGCAGATCTATGGGAGGGCCCCCCCCCCCCCTTTCTTTTCGGTTGTAAAAAGAATTACAGAAGGAAGAAAAGCTGGCTGGTGTATAAACACAAAAAAAGCAGCCCCACTCCCTCCCTTAGCTTAAGGACTGGATCTGCCAAGTGCTACATCTAATACTCAATTTTACATCTCATGAAGCTTGGAATGTGGTAACCAAGCCCCAAATAGTAGTTGAAGTTATGCAATGTATTGCTTTAAGCTGTGTGTATCTGTTGCAATCTTTATAGTTATTGCAAATTAGGGACCCCTTAAACTAGCAACCCCAGCAAAAACAGTTATAGTGTAAGACTGATAAATATTTAGTGACTTAATAGAACTTGTTGTTTTATTTGTTTACACAGAATGGGAAAATAATCTGCAATGAAAAGCCTTTCAGGGAACCTCAATTTCCAAGATTACCTGTAAGCTGTTTATTGTTTTCTATATACAAGGATACAAATAAATCTGGAGTACAAAGTCTGCCAACTTTAGCTTCAATGTTTTAGGAATAACTATTAGTAACACAAATTAATTTGGGTTGTAGTTTTATGGGTTTGTCATGGTTGAATGTATTTGAAAGACTTATTTTTTTTTCTTAGTGAAGAGCTCTTTAGCAACTCTTAAATGGAGCAATGTATTTGAAAGCTCTTGATCTATTTGGGATGCAGCTAAATTTCTTTCACCAAACAAACCAAGCAAACCAAGTATAATTTTCTTTAGATGCTGTATTTTCAAAACAATGTCTTTACACAGAACTTTACACTCACCAAAGATGAACTGGGCGTGACAAGTGTCGGAGATATCTCCTCACAGGATATGGAAAAAGTGCGGTCCTTGTCACTTATAGAACTCACAGCACTGTTTGATTCTCATGGACTAACCCTTCACAGACGGAAGCCAGTCAGGAGAAAAGTAAGAGGTATGGAACATTCCCCCAGTGAACAAAATATGGCTTGATATACAAGCAACAACAAGAAAAAGAATGGTTATGGTGATAAGTTTTTTACAATTATAAGTAAAGTAAGTGTATGTCTCTACCAATGGGACAGATATGTCAGGCAAACAAACAGCTAGAGGTGTCATGATTGACTATAATTCTACAGAACAGAAGCTATTTAATTGTTTGACAATGTGCAATTCTTCTTATTTTAATTATTCATATAAATTTTAAACTGCTGTCTTAGAATCAGGAATCTTTGGGGTACCACTGCAGAATCTACTTCAAGAGGACAAATTGAAGAATGAGAGAACGGTAGTTCCTTCCTTTTTTATAGAGGTAATTTGATTAGAGATCTCTTTTTCTGCAAAAATGCTGGTTATTAGCCACCCAAGGTTTAGTATCCAGATTTTACTTCAGACGGCATTTGGAGCACTTACCTTTGTTTTCTGTCTCTTCATGTAGCTGGTTTTAATTTTCTTTCAGCTCATCAGACATTTGGAAACAAAAGGTATGTTGACCTGTCTGCATTTTCATACACTCACTAAATCTCAGTATTACTTTGTCATCTCCTCAGAAACTCAACTCATTACCTTTGGAATGGCTCTCAGCAAAAGTGGCAGAGTGTGTTTGCATTCCGTTTTGTATGAACCAAATGTTAGGGGGCTTGTGCCTGTATATTGCTTGTGGTGATATTCACTTACATTTTTAGAGTTTTTATTGTATATAGCAGAGTAGTAGTGTTATGGTCAATAAAAGGGCTGTCACACCCTAGCCTTGATGTAATTGACATTTGTCAATTCTATTACTATGAACTAATCGATGGATGTCTATAAACAATACTTTCCACAGGTATAAAGGAAGAGGGAATCTTGAGAGTTCCTGGAAATTCAGGAAGAGTTAAGGTATTTGTGACTTTTGTTCTGCCTCTGTCTCTTTTTTATCCTTTTTTTAAACTCGCTCTACAGGCATCCAAAAAGGTTTAAAATAATATAATTAAGTATGACTGGATTTATTTTACAGGTTCTAAGGGAAGAAGTGGAGGAAAAGTTCAATGATGGGGTCTTTACATGGGATGACAGAAGACCACATGATTGTGCAGCTTTGCTTAAACAGTTCTTGAGGTTAAATTCGCTACCTTTTCAGCTTTTGTTAGGGGTTCTTTCGTGGTTGAAATTTTAGTGTTCTAGACTACCCTGACTTCTAGAGATGTTCCTGCTCCATTCCAGAACATAACAAAAATATTATGACAGATTACTTTTTAAAATTTCACTATAAATGTTCACATACCATTACAGTCCCATCCAATATCTCAAACTAGACTGCAGAGTAAATTTCTGCTTGTTCAGGTGAAGTAGGAATATTCACCAATTACATCTGAAATTTTCAATTAGTTTTGTAAAGCTGTGCTTTTTTTAAATCTCAAAGCTTGTTCTTGTATCCTAACAGGGAACTACCTTTTCCTCTTTTAACTCAAGAATATCAACCAACATTTGCATCTGTAGAAAGTGAGTGGTGGTTCAAAATGTCAATTATGGGCTAAGAACAGATCATCTAATTTTAGTCTGCTTAATAATTAATCTCGCTGTCTTTTTGACTTCACACTTGCCTTGCTCCTTACATAACAACCATCCAGAATGTGTGCATTATAGGTTTGGATAAGGTGCAGACCAAAATGTTCTCTTTTTGTTGTTAATTTACATGAGAACACAGATTTGTCACAACAAAAATGGGTCAAATTCGATGCAATCATGAGATTTTGATAGCTACTGAGCTCCTTCATAGGAAACAGAGAACTCTATCACATCATTAATATGTTTAATCTGGCTCACAACATTTTTTCCCCTTTCTTCCAGGTATACCAGATAGAAAACAACAGCTTCAGGCATTAAATCTGCTTATTATGTTGTTGCCTGTAGTTCATCAAGACTGTTTAAAGGTAAGTTATTATGTTTTGAGAATTTACAGCGTAGTTAAGTTTTCAGGCAAAAATGATAAACTTGTAAGAGAAAAACAACTTCTGTTCGCAGTGCCTAAAGTAGACTGAATTTCTTTATCAGGGCTTTTAGAAGTGTGATATCTTGGTGCTGCAAATTATTTTACAATAATGCACATTTTAGCTGGAAACTAAAAGACGTTTGGTTTGCAGTATCTTAAATACCGTGTTTCAACAAGGTTTATAACTGAGACATATATGTCTTTTTCATATAGATCCTTGTTCACTTCCTAAACAGAGTGGTAGCCCAAGAAAAACATAACAAAATGGGTTTAAACAGTGTGGCTATGATTGTGGCTCCAAATCTGTTCATTTGTTCAAACAAGTCTCAGCCATCTTTACAAGAAATCAAACAAGCTCAAGGCACTGTCAACATTGTTAGAATGTTAATCAAGTATCAGGCTATTCTATGGACAGTAAGTCCTCTACTTCTCTGTGGGTATGAATAGTGAACATATGTTATCTAAAAACTGTGGGGTTAATTAGTCTAAATTTTAAAAAATGGTGTTAAGTTATCTTAAAACGATTTACTGAAGATTTGAAGTGAAGTATAGTAGTTGAGTATGCAACTAAACAGGTTGGTGTTGTAACTGTGTAATAAAGTCTGTGGAATTGAGTTAAAACCTGTCCTTGACAGTCTACTCTGACACCAAAAAGGAAGAGAGTTCACTTTCCAACAATGACTGTAGGGTTTAATAAGACTGATTACAGGGAAGAGAGTTCACTGATTACAAGGGAAGAGAGTTCACTTTCCAACAATGACTGTAGGGTTTAATAAGACTGATTACAGGGAAGAGAGTTCACTGATTACAAGGGAAGAGAGTTCACTTTCCAACAATGACTGTAGGGTTTAATAACACTGATTACAGGGAAGAGAGTTCACTGATTACAAGGGAAGAGAGTTCACTTTCCAACAATGACTGTAGGGTTTAATAAGACTGATTACAGGGAAGAGAGTTCACTGATTACAAGGGAAGAGAGTTCACTTTCCAACAATGACTGTAGGGTTTAATAAGACTGATTACAGGGAAGAGAGTTCACTGATTACAAGGGAAGAGAGTTCACTTTCCAACAATGACTGTAGGGTTTAATAAGACTGATTACAGGGAAGAGAGTTCACTGATTACAAGGGAAGAGAGTTCACTTTCCAACAATGACTGTAGGGTTTAATAAGACTGATTACAGGGAAGAGAGTTCACTGATTACAAGGGAAGAGAGTTCACTTTCCAACAATGACTGTAGGGTTTAATAAGACTGATTACAGGGAAGAGAGTTCACTGATTACAAGGGAAGAGAGTTCACTTTCCAACAATGACTGTAGGGTTTAATAAGACTGATTACAGGGAAGAGAGTTCACTGATTACAAGGGAAGAGAGTTCACTTTCCAACAATGACTGTAGGGTTTAATAAGACTGATTACAGGGAAGAGAGTTCACTGATTACAAGGGAAGAGAGTTCACTTTCCAACAATGACTGTAGGGTTTAATAAGACTGATTACAGGGAAGAGAGTTCACTGATTACAAGGGAAGAGAGTTCACTTTCCAACAATGACTGTAGGGTTTAATAAGACTGATTACAGGGAAGAGAGTTCACTGATTACAAGGGAAGAGAGTTCACTTTCCAACAATGACTGTAGGGTTTAATAAGACTGATTACAGGGAAGAGAGTTCACTGATTACAAGGGAAGAGAGTTCACTTTCCAACAATGACTGTAGGGTTTAATAAGACTGATTACAGGGAAGAGAATATTCACCAATTACATCTGAAATTTTCAATTA